GGTCCAGGTGGACCAGTTTAGCAAGTACCGGATTCAATCTGCCTGCCAGGATTTTTGCTAGTAGTTTTGAGTCATGGTTAATCATGTCTTTTCCACTTTATACTTGGATTTCTTTGAGTTAGGTACCTGCTGAATACCACAGATTTGAAACACAACTCGGGAAGAGGAGCAAAGCCAGTGAACCACGTGTGTGTGTGTGTGTGTGTGTGTGTGTATATATATATATATATATATATATATATACGCCTATAGTGACCGTCTGGTAGGCACTCTTAGTACTGCAGTGTTAATATTGCTTTTTCTGTGAAATGTTTCCATCAGTGTTTTGCATTGCACGACTAAGGGGTGCACCCAGACAACTTCAATGAGATTAAATGGTTTGGGTTTAATAGCCATCACATACAAGGCCGGACTGGGAATAAAAAGCCGGCTTAGAAAATAATTCTATACTAGCCCAATAGTATGTGTCGCGCCAGCGTAGTGTGCAGATATAGAGGTGGAAAACTTAACTTAAAAATGAAACTGTACTCCAACATGAAAGAAAGCACTTACAGAGCTACAAAATTAACAAGAGCGGATTTGCATACAATGTCTCAGTCAAACTACCTTAACATATTACGAAAATAAATATGAATTGGGCACAACCCAGTTCTTGTTGTGCAATATAAAACTCATCCTAAACATTGCAGAGGGGATTGGCGAGTGTAAGATACATTCCAAGTAGAACTATAGAAATGTAAAGAACTAGCAGTCTCTTGCTTTCTGGAAAATTAAGTTAACCTATGAATTAACTGTAAGCCATTATCAAAGATCTTGAGTTAACAAGTTCACTTTTTCTCTTGTTTAATTGCAGCTTGAAGATGAGGACTGGGAGAACTGGGAGTAATAGAAAGCTGCAGCCTCTGCTTTCCCACAGGACACTGCATCAGAACCTGGATTCTTGCAAAAACTCTTCCTATGGCCTGTACAATAAATTCCTCGCATCATCACAACAAGTTTCCATGGTTTCATACAGCCAGGGAGGTTATGGGAACAGTTCTCGTGCTGCACTGGCATTGTATGGGTTAATATAGTGAAATGTAACAGTTTTCAGGTTTCTTAACCCCTTACTTGCCAGACCTTTGCAATTTGATATGTTTAATGGGGCTTTATTAAGTTAGTTTTAGGATAGTGAAATGGAAAGCCGCTAATCACATTGATTTTTAGGTTTGCGTGTGATAAATCCTTGTGTACTCTCTCTGCCCCCAGTGCAGCAGGAATTGCCAGGACGTGATGGTAATCATATACCACCTGCCTCCTTTGTGTTCTAAATGGCGGGAGCACATGATCACTCCCCTTATTAGGTTGCAGATTACTATGTCTTTCTCACAGAGTTGCAAACACACATGACTCAATAAATGTTTGTTTCCATGTTGCTGTAACTGAAGCGATCCTGTCAGTAGACCATTGAATAATCATCTGATTCTTAGTGTCCAAAGAGCCACCAACAAGGAACTTTGCGTACAACATTGGATACATGTCTTGGAACAATGATCAGTTGGCAATATTGTTTCCAGCTTTTTCATTATTCCTAGGAGAAGCCTTGACACGCGGTAGAAAAAGATCTATGCAGCATGCTCACTTACCTGAGGGGTGTGAATGCAATTTTCTCTCTTGCCTTAAACTATGGACACTGTGGTCTTAATTTTTTTCTTTTCAAATCAGGGTTGTCAAACTCAGCTCATCCAAATGTTAGACTACAGCTCTCAATTGGTTTTGAAATGCTTAGAAGGCAGATAACTATGAGAGTTGTAGTTGAGCAACATCTGGGGAAAATGAGTTGGAGAAGCCTGGTTTATAGAAATAGCATACATGACAAAGGAGAAATCATGTAAGCAGTAATGTATGAATAGCATCCACCTTATCCCCTCTCTTATTTAGGGATCAGGAGCTTGCTTCCCCAGCCAATTCCTGGCCTTTATCTTCCTTCCCCCCCCCCCCCCCTCGCCCCTGGAGTTGCATGCATACACAGTGATGGTGTAAAGAAAACATGAATGTGGATCACATCACCAGTGATGTGGTCATGCCTGAACACAAAAAAATTGAACACAGTGTCCCATGGACTGTGGGCAAGTGTGGAACACTTGCAGCACTTTGCTTTGCATAGGGGATTTTTAGTATGACAATGTGTTACATACAGTTTGTTCCCTAATGAACTCCTTGTATTTTTAGCCTGTCCATTGTTTGTGCAATATATATATTATCTATTTTAAGTTATATGGCAGTGGTGGAGGAGGATTGCTGCTTTCATACAGGAAAAATATATCACTCATGGCAATTCTAACAGCTTTTCTTTTGTAATTTAAATCTTTCTCTAGACCCAAGAACATGCACTTAACTGATATTAAACATGGTGTAGTACGTGGGTGTCTTGATTTGGGTCACTAATCTCAATTACCATGATATTTAATGCCTAGAAGTCCATCAACAAAGTTTATTTCCTTTACAGCAAATAAAATACATTTTCAAAACCATCTACTTTCTCTGCAGTTTTGTGCATGTATTTCAAAGTAATGTGGTTTACCTTGAAAATATATTATTTTGTGTTGAGTACATTTAAAAAAAAATTAGCTCTTGTTTTTCTGTGATTTTTTTTTTTTTGTTGTTGTTGTCACTGAGCAGTTAAATGTTATATTTCAGGAGGGATATGCCCATTTGGTTTGCATTATATAGAGAATATATTACTATCCTTGTAATGTGATTACCATCCAGTAGAAAATTATTTTGATACTTCCCCTTTGAAATGACAGTTTTATGCAGCACCCATCATTACATTTTTAAACAGCTTTTTAATGTCGGACAAATTTGTGTAGATTTTAGGAGCCAGACATTCTGATGCACCGGCTTTGTTTTCATTAGCTAGTACAGTCACTTATATATAATATGACAAAGTGGGGTGGATGTTCTGTGATTATAGGCACTTATAGTAGAATAAAATAAAGGAAATTGTAGCAGCTTCCACACTTATTATATATTATATATTATATATTATATATAAGGAGCTAAGTGGGGAAATAAGTGAACCTCTGTATTTAATTTTTCAAGATTCTTTTGTTTCAGGTGTTGTACCGGAGGATTGGAGGAAGGCAGATGTTATGGAAATTATAGACCTGTGAGCTTAACTTCTGTAACTGGGAAAATATTTGAAGGGCTATTAAGGGATAATATTCAGGAATTCATTGGGAAGAACTTTATTAGCAATAATCAGCATGGTTTTATGAAACATAGGTCATGTCAAACTAACCTAATTGCATTCTACGAAGAAGTAAGTAGAAATATAGATCAGGGTGTTGCAGTGGATGTGATCTACTTGGATTTTGCAAAGGCATTTGATACGGTTCCTCACAATAGGTTAGTCTTCAAACTAAAAGAAATTGGTCTAGATGAATATTCTTGCTCTTGGGTAGAACATTGGTTTAAGCTTAGAGTACAACAAGTTGTAATTAATGGTAAATTTTCAGGCTGGACAAAAGTGGTAAGTGGTGTCCCTCAGGGTTCTGTTTTGGGACCACTTCTATTTAACATATTTATAAATGATCTTGAAATAGGCATTGAAAGCCATGTATCAGTGTTTGCAGATGACACAAAACTTTGTAAAGTAATAAAATGTGAGCAGGATATTGCTTTGCTGCAGAGAGATTTGGATAGATTGGGGGACTGGGCACTAAAATGGCAGATGAAATTTAACATAGAGAAATGCAAAGTTATGCACTTCGGGGTTAAGAATGCACAAGCAACTTACACACTAAATGGTAGTGAATTAGGGATAACCACACACGAGAAGGATTTAGGAATTGTTATAGACAACAAATTAGGCAGCAATATGCAATGTCAATCTGCAGTTGCTAAGGCCAGTAAGATTTTGTCATGTATAAATAGGGGCATAAATTCTCGGGATGAAAATATAATTTTGCCTCTTTATAAATCGCTGGTAAGACCACACCTTGAATATGCTGTGCAATTTTGGGCGCCTGTTCTAAAGAAGGATATCATGGCACTGGAGAGGGTCCAGAGACGAGCTACAAAATTGATAAAAGGAATGGAGCATTTTAGTTATGAAGAAAGGTTAAAAAAATTAAGTCTGTTTTAGTTTGGAAAAACGGCGCCTGAGAGGGGATATGGTAACTTTATACAAATATATTCGGGGCCAGTACAAACCTTTTATCTGGAAATCTATTTATAAACAGAGCTATACATAGGACTCGAGGTCACACATTTAGGCTGGAAGAAAGGAGATTTCATCTAAGGCAAAGAAAAGGGTTTTTTACAGTAAGAACAATAAGGATATGGAATTCTCTGCCTGAAGAGGTGGTTTTGTCAGAGTCCATACAAATGTTTAAACTGAAATTGGATAAATACTTGCAAAAACATAACATACAGGGATATAATTTCTAATTAGTGGGGTAATAGCTGCTTGATCCAAGGAGACATCTGACTGCTATTTTGGGGTCAAGAAGGAATTTTTTCCTAGTTTGTGGCAAAATTGGAAGCGCTTCAGACTAGGTTTTTTGCCTTCTTTTGGATCAACAGCAACAACATTTGTGAGGAAGGCTGAACTTGATGGACGCAAGTCTCTTTTCAGCTATGTATCTATAATATGACTGAATATGTTTATAGAATATCCCAGGTAAGATACAATGTGAAATAGAGATATTAATTGCAAACTCAATTACCTGGAGATTAATGTTCACTACCACAACCACTACCAACAATGTTTAGTTCAAAGACGACCAACATTGACTTTGTTGCTATCTGTAATTGTATGTTATTAGGAAGTTTATATTTCAAACCATAAACAAGTGAGTTGGCAACAATAACAATGGAACATTTTTTTCATAAGTCACTGGTTCTTGAGCCATGGGTGGCAAATTACTTCATTAATGTATGGTCTTGCTTGTGTATCTGCTTCTAGTAGTTGTTTCATTAAAGCTTGGCATTCTTCAGATACATGAAGATTTCTGGGAAGAGTTATACCTTTCTGCTGATGCAAGAGCATTTTAGGGATGTTGCTGTCCTGAAAAGGTAGACTTCCACTGAGCATGACATAGAGTACAACACCCATACTCCATATGTCTCCCTTTCGACTGTCGTAGGGCTTACCTTGTAGTATCTCAGGTGCTGCATACGCTGTGCTACCACAGAATGTTTGTGACAGCTCTTTGTGGGTGGTTGGAACTAGTTTGGCAAATCCAAAGTCGGTCAGTTTGAGTACCCCATGATCCAACAATGCATTCTCACATTTTAAATCCCGGTGTGCCACACCAATGCTATGTAGATAACGGATAGCTTCCGCTAACTGCTGGAAGAGTACTCGGGCTTGGTCCTCTGACATTGCACCGCTTTTATGGATGACTTCATAGATATCTCCTCCGTTTGCTAGCTCCATCACCATGTAAAGCTTTGTTCCATTGCTTGCTTCTAGTATCTCATAGGTTTCAATGATGTTCTTGTGATGCAGGAGGCCTACTATTTCCTGCTCTCGAGGTAGAAACCTGTGAATGAAATCTGGAGAGAAAGGTAGGTTGGAGCTGTGTTTATTCTAACATTTCTATTAAAGGGGAATTGTCACTTCTCTCAAATTTACACCATTGAATAAAAACATTGGAAATCACATATAATTGTTTTCTTTCTCCTTCTTCCTCCTTCTTCATCTGATGCTCTGTTTTCTTTTAAATTGAAAGTAAAGATTTAAAAAGTTATGTAATTAACCAGTTCACACAAGGCAGGGCAAATAGCAAATAATGTAATTTCTCTTCTCTCTTTGCTGACGTACAGTACAATAGCTAACAGCGTGTTAACTTGGCAACACCCAGTTACATATTTGTTAATTGTGCAGGATAAATATAACAATTAAAAATTCCTGGAAGTGACAAGTTTGCTTTTAAACAGGAATAGATAGAAGCTGCTTATTTAGGAGATATTCACAAACTCCTAGAACGGAATCTGCCACTCACACATGCAAAAATAAATCCTGTTTTGATTGGTGGAACAAGAACATTTTCATATCAACTAAACAATGCCTTGCAGAAACCAACAACTAATGTGAATGCATATATATATGCAAAAAGCATTTTGCAAGCAAGCCAGCCCGGACTGGCCGACAGGCACCCTGATCAAGTTCCCAGTGTGCCGCGATGGCCAAGGGCCGAGGCTGACGTGGGAGATCAGAGATTCTCCCTGCCGGCCCATGCAAAGCGAGCGCTTTTCTAAATGCCACATTGCTGTGTGCCGGGCTGGTGGGAAGATCAAAGATCCCCCCCCACTTGCCACCAGCACTTCAATCAGGCAGAGGAGGACGACCTGGGAGCTGTAACCTGCAGCTCCGTTGGGATCCACTCACAAGGTTGGAACATTGCCGCAGTTACCATGGCAACACTATCTCGTTAGAGTGAACTCTAGCCCTAGAAGCTGCAGGCCAGAGTTCACTCACCACTGGACCACCACGGCTTTTAAGAAATGCCCCCCTTCCTGGCAAAGGTAAGAAGGGAAGGGGATATCACATTTATTTTTTTAAATTGAAAAATAAATTTGTTTTGCTCCCATCTGCCCCCATCCCACCTACATAATACCCACCAACACACATTGCATCGCTCACACAAAGACATTGTAACAATCACATGCATCATACTCCACACACTCACTACACTCCTGAACACTAGATCCCCTAAATATATACACACATTATATCCCTTATACACACACTCTCTACATTTCAGACACACACTGCACCACTTACACTACATCCCTTATACACAATCTGGATAATGTACAGTCTACACAAACACACTAGATAACCTATACATATTCTGGATCCTCTACACACATACACACGCACTGCACCACCTACACATACACACAACTTTCCAGACACACACATTTTAGATCCCATATGCACACAGATCCCCTGTATGCAAACAAACACACACACACACACACACACACTCTCTCTCTCTCTCTCTCTCTCTCCCCCTCTCCCTCTCCCTCTCCCCTACAGACACTTCATCACCTATAAACACTATGCCCCTTATATGCACACACTACCGCTCTCTACGGCACCTAGCCACACATTTTACCTCACAAACACATCACAATCATCAATACTCACTCCTGGTCATTTTGTCCTCTGGCATGCCACTTATGGAGACACCAGAGACAAGTCACAAGCAAAAAGTAATTAAGTTTGCTACAGTAGAGTTCTATGCATGGCTGGCTCGGGAAGAGCATTGAACCAACATGCTGACTTTGTGAGGGTGCGTGCTTTTCACTGGTGATGACATAACACCCCCTCTCTGGCCCCACCCCCTTCTTATTGAGCTGCATTGATTTAAAAAAAAATAAAAAAAAATGCCCGGGCAAAATTTATTTCCCTGTGCGGCCCTGCAAGCAAAGGTACCAACAACCCTTAGCATTTCACAAAACCCTTGGCAAAAAGTAAATTTTATATTTTGTGCACCCATCCTTTAATAAGAAAGCTATGTACTCAAACTGTAGGCATGCTACACACAGCCTGAACTAGCATAACTGTAGCATATAAAGATGCCACAGGCATTAAGCACTGTATGGTGGCAATAGAGGGTTAATGTGTCCTGTTGGTACAGTTAGGGAAAGTTCAGAGAGAGTTCATGACTCCTGCATAGGATGTTGGGCAGTGTGGGACAGATAGCTGGGCAGATTTAGTGTGACAGCTGTTGCTGGGGACAAGAGCTGGGTGAGGATTGGTTGCTGGTCGCGAGCCAGCGAAATGTGGAAAGCCAGGTAAGAATAAAAGGTGGCAGCGCGAGCGCAATCCCTATCAGCGGTTTGCAGGACAGGAGAAGCACAGACGGACCCCTAGCACCCATCTGTTCCAGCCGCAACATGTCCTCTGAAGACCTGATGTGCCGCCTGGTAGAAATCCTGCGATCGCCAGGAGGGGAATCCTGGTTGAAAGACTGCTTAATGTCGGCACCGGGGGCTTCCAATGTTGACAGGGAGGCTTCGGTAGCAGCATCCTACTCTGCAGAGTGTTCACGACGTCTGACAGAGGTTCTAGCCGACGGCACGATGTACACAGCCGGAAAGAGGCACGCTCATGCGAGGTACTACTGGGGAAGAGCGCCACCTGCTGAAAAAAGAGAATGCACGTGTCAGAATTACTGTTGATCCAGCACGCAGAAATAGTATCACACCTAGGACTAAGAATAACGTATGGCCGGACTTAACGTATCCAAGAATAGTCAAAATACTTGCCGAGGTCAGGGATACAAAACGAAACACAACAGTGAGGGAAAGCCAAAGTCAAATACCAGAAATACTAAAATCAGGAACACTCTCTTGAATAACCAGTTAAGGGAAACCACGACAGGGCACTGATCATAATTTGGGTTTAAATAACCCTCCTAAAGCTGTAATTGGCTGTATGTGGCCTCTGACCCAAAAACGTGCGTGCACGTCTATGACATGATGTTGCATGCACGTAAGCGCCATCTTTCACATGGGCAAAGGCTATTTCACTATTAAAATCGGAACTGCAGTGCCTGGCATCTCTTGTAACGCAGCACACGCGGGGGAACAGGATGGAAGGAGTCTGGCTTGATCTGCCGCAGGTTAGATAAGTATTTGTTATTTCTGTTGGTGTGACCGCTGTGTTTCCGTGCAGCCATGCTAACAGAAACCCGCTGCACCATGGCAGCACGCTGGCAAAAAACTGGCTCCAGAAGTTAAAGACACAGCCCCTTGGAAAGAAGAGCAGGTGTAAAAGAAGCCTGTCCTCCTCCCTTGTACCTGTTGTGGGTCAGGGTAGAGTAGAGGGCCGGGCTGAAGACATCCTGGCAAGGATTGAAGAAAGTTCGGATGATGGGAGTGAGTGTCATCCAGACGACATGCCAGTCCTAGAAGAATGGAGGTGCAAGGCAGAGCTGGTACTTCAGGAGGTGAGTATGAACGAAACGATGCTGAACTGGTTAAGATTAGTTAGGTGTTTGCAGTGGTGACTGGAATGGTAAAGGTTTTTGCAGAAAATAGTCCAGCTCAGGCTTGGGGTACTGGGAGTAGTAGTTCTAAAAAAGGATTTATTAACGAATATTGTAAGAAAGAAGTTCTGCCATGTGACAGTTCACCATTTTCACTTAATGACTCATTTAAAAGAAAAAATTTGGAAAGGTGAATATGTTGATTTGCTGTCGCTTTTGCCTTCAGCAAAAGATTTTCACAAAGCACAGAGTGACAAGGATGAGGAAAAGCTTAGATTGATCCCACGTAATTTTAATAACTGGCTGCAAGCATTTTGTATTTTCTCAGCCGTACTGGGAGAGAAGAAGCCAAAATGAGCGGGCTTTTCCAATATGTGGAAGTTACATTAGAGGCTTTGAAGAATTTTTGCGGATTGGCGTGGTTTAACTATGATGAACTTTTCAGACAAAAACTGGCTGTCCACTCTTCCCTGAAATGAGGAATGAAGGATGTTGGTCTTTGGCTGAATATGATGCTGCCTCATTATCGGTTAAACCAGCGACTAATGTCAGCACTTCTAGCATAGTAGGAGCGATGAAAAAGGCCTATGTTGGATATTTAATGAAGGGCATTGTAAATGGCCCAATACATGTCGGTTTAAGCATGAGTGCTCATACTGTGGTGGAGATCATTCAGCCTTTCGCTGCTTTAAAAGAACTGCAGCAGGATCCAGTCAGGGAAAAGACCATTTTCAAAAAGGCATGGACGCCAGTGCAGCTGGAAAGGTTTTGTCCTTATCTTCAGGTGTACCCAAACAGGGAGAGAGCTAAGTTATTGCTTCATGGTTTTGCAGAAGGTTTTAAGATTCCAATGTTTTCCGGTTCCTGTTGTTCGTTTGTTAACAATTTAAAATCTGTTTTGCAGGATGTTGAAGCTGTCAGCAGGAAATTGCAAAATGAGTTGAAATTAGGTAGAATAGTGGGTCCTTTTGACCGCCCTACTTTTGCTAATTTTCTCCTTTCTCCTTTAGGTTTAATTCCTAAGAAAGAGCCAGGGTCGTTTCCGGCTAATTCACCATTTATCTTACCCTTCTGGTGCGTCATTAAATGATGAATTTGACAAGGATACATGCTCAGTGTCCTATGCATATTTTGATGCACTCAGATGGGTATGTGAATTTGGACCGGGTGCACTGATGGCTAAGGTGGACATTGAGTCAGCCAGTGCATCCTGAAGGTTTTAACTCGTTGGGTTTTTCATTCCTTGGCAAGTTTTATTTAGATAAATGTTTACCAATGGGTTGCTCCATTTCCTGTTTTTATTTTGAAGCCTTTTCTTCAT